CACGCTTTCTCGAATCAAAAACGTGTTTCACATGCTTGAAACGTGTTCCAAAAGCGTCTGACGCCTATTACAACATGTTTTGGGCATCTGGAAGTTATTTGGCAACATGCTTTCTCTCCATTCACCGTCGTCCACAGCCTGAGCCTGGGGAAACCGAAAGGTACCGATACCGCTGCTCCCCGGACCTCTCCTGGGGTGCGTCCTGACCAGGACTTCGAGGCGAATCCAGCGGTGGCGACGAGGGCTTCCCGGGAGGCCCAACAATAGGCAGACGGGCGAGCAGGCCAGAGGTATGGGCACCTCCTCCTCCTCCGACGGTCCCCGGAGCCCCCGAGCGAGGCGCGGCCGCTCTCTCGACCGGCGCAGCGGCTCCCCGAGGCCGGAGGCCCTGGCGCCCGGGGCCCGGGCCCGGGCGGGCAGGGGGCGCGTGAAGGGGCCCTGGGGCACACAAGTGAATACACACAAATAAAAAGATTCCCCATATTTTCCCATATTTTCTGGGTTTCTGTCTTCCCCCCCACTTCCCATATTTTCCCATATTTTCTGGGGAATCGACGATTAATTGTGTCTGTGTTTTTGTTCCCCTCCTGAGCGCGGGCGAGCGCCCTCTGCGCCCGCCCGCCCGCCGGGACATCGGCTCGGGCCGGGCGAAATGGGGGGGATAGCAAAGGTCGGCGGTGGACAAACCTCCCTTTAGTAAACATCCCACAGCCAGGCGATGAGGAGTACAATTTCGTTGCGGCCCTGGTGAGGCAAGACGCAGAGCAGGAGTTGCTCGAGTTCGGCGTAGAGTGACGCCTACTAGTGCACGATGCCAGAACTGTTGGAGCATATGCAGTATCAGACGTGCCCCCCATTTACATTGAGCACTCGATAGATGTGGCCTTTTGCAACGATGCAGTGTGTATGATGATTACTGGTCTGGAGGTCCTTCTCAGGCTTGAACCGTTCGCCGCCGGCATCGTAATCGACGCCGTTGGGTCTCGGGGTATGCGACTCCACACGGAGCGTGGTAAGTCCGGTACTCTCTTCCAGTTCCGTGGCAAGGGGTACGAGGAGGCCAAGAGGAGCCTCCGGGGCGACTGGGAAGGCAAAATTACGTCTTCGGTCAGGTTGCACGGCGAGCTGAAGACATATGCAGCACGTCAGCACCAGCACGCTTGAACTGTGTCGGACGAAGTGACCTCTATGGGATCTGAGCTAGCCCACCGCAGGCAGGATACGGTACGTGGGTGGCCCAAGCTCTGTAGGGTAGTCGTGGATACGTACGTACATTGAGCATAGCATCAGCACGGCCCTCATCGGCTCACTCGTGCACTCCAGTTGCTCGTACCAGGCTGGCACGTGGCCACCTGTCAGCTCTGCGTAGGAAGCCTTTCTAGCATGTCCCGTGCGGTTATACATGAACCAGCACGCGCACAAGGATCCATGACCACAGCAGAAGTGCTAGCGAAAGTTAATCGAGCTGAACTGGGAGCTACTTTGAAAGTACATCGCTCGCGATATTTTGGCAGGCTCCTGCATCATGGCCCAGTGCACCTGATAGCGATTGCAGGCCTATGTTCTACATTGGGAGGTTCTTTTTGATGCAGCAAGTTCTCGCAGACTTGACGTGGCTGGGACAGCACACGACCAAATACGCCAACCTACGCACCCCACAAAGTGACCTCGCAGCATGGGAACCCATGATCATGCTCAGGCTCCAAGATGCCCCGCAGGTCCTGAAGTATGAGTAATGTTAGTGTAGTGTCTCCCTACCTACGGTCAAGGGCTTTAAGCAGCACGTCGTCCGAAATCATTGGTATGTCGTTCGGAGAGTTTGAGGTCAAGTGGGGAGTAATAAGCAATGCACACATCATTTCACCGTTTTTGCTGCTCGCAAGCCGTTGGTGAAGCGCTTGGCCTTCGATGCTCCAAGTGCGCTCTCGTAGTTCTGGCCACAGCAGGTTGCAGCCCTTGCACCACAGATCTCCATGAGCAGTTAACTATACAGGATGACGCCGAAGCAGATCGCAGAGGCAAGGCAGGCTTAGGACGATGGAGACCAGATATTCCAGCGCTGCGCGCTCCCTCGAGTAGTCGTGGACAAGGACTGGTTCCTGGTGTCGTTTCTCTTGCGGGTGATTCCGAGGCCAGGGAAATGTTGCTGTGATATGACCCCGCTTCTCCACCTGAAGCTGCCCAGAGTTACCTTTCAGCGTCTGGCTACGGGGAATACGACGATCGTTTTTGGCCTGCTCGGCCTCAGGACTTCTCGAGCACTGGTTCGGAACTCGTGCAGTGGCGTATCGAACGCCCACACAAGTTTGTCATCAAGTTGTGCTGTGGCATGGGGACCTCCAGTGGCACCTCTCGTCGTCTCACATGTCGGCCTCGTGCGACATCACTTGGTTTTCTATAGACATTGCCATAGACACCGGCAAAGGAGATTTAACCAACGCTTCTTCAATCGATGCTTGGCTCAAACACATTCGCGGCAAGCGTGTGCTGAAAGCGGAGTGGGGGGCGTGCGAGACGTGGAGTGCTGGCAAGTAGGGCCCCACCCCCTGAGCGACAGAGACCACATTTGGGGCGTTCCTGCATGCACAAGCAAGCAGCAGGAGCAGCTTCGCATAGGTAGCCAGTTGCGCCACGCCCCCGTTCGCTCGTTGGCAGAGCATCTCAGGGCGGGGACTGGCGGGTGGATGGAGCACCCCATCCCTGCCACCTGCGTTGCTGCTGCCCCCACCTCCTGGCGCTGGTCTCCTTTTATCGCCCTCTCCTCCTCACCCGTTTCAGATGCCATTGGCTCTGGTCGGCGCGAGCATCAGCCACGGAACGTCGACATGTCTAAGACTGGCCGAGCTCCCACCCCAGTGCGGCGTGTGCGTACGCCTGTGGTGCGTTATGGAACTCCGAGGCACCCCTGGGCAGGGCAGATGTCCTCGGGACCGTCCGCACTTCACGTTTCGGGGATGGACAGACCCCCCTTTAGCAAAACGTGGTTTAGTGAAAACGACCTGAGGCCCAAACCTGGCGGGCGCAAGCCTGGAAAATGAGGGCCACGGCGCCCTCTCGAGAACCGAAACGGACAATTCACTAACCGACGTGTCACTGTTGGGGGTTCTGTCCACCCCCGAACGTTGCTCGGAGGGAATCAGGATCGTCCGCGGCGCACTCCGGCCAAGAAAGCACGTCCCAGCAGCCTCTGTGTCGGGCCCTGGCCCGGGGTATATAGCCAGTGGTGCCGTGCAGTTATCTTGACCGAAGGCAGCGACACGGCGGACTTTGAATTCAAAGCAGACGCTGTTGACATATGGTCCGATGATCTTGAAGGGGCCCCGGGACACACAAATTCGCCGGCCCAACGGGCCAGGGCGTGCTAAGATCTCCGGTAACAGGTAAACAGTATTTCTAGTTCGCGCGCGCGGGGCGGCCCCTAGGAGTCCCCGGGCGAAAAGTACCCCGGCAGGTCCCCGGGAGGGTGGGGGCCAGAGATGCCGGACTTCCTGGGCGCGGCCCTGGAGGCCTCTGGAGCGCTCCAGGAGCGCTCCAAGGAGACGCCAAATATGTGGCAGGCCCAGCAGCCTGAAGCCAAGAGCGCCCCAAGACGGCCCAGATGGCATCAAGACGGCCCAAGATGCTCCCAAGACGCCCCAAGATGCGTCCAAGAGACCTCCCAAGAGGCCCCCAACAAGCCAAAATGTATGATTTTCATTGCTTTTTTGAGGATTTTGGCGTTCTCGCCTCTTCGGCTTACTAGCGCTTTAAGACGGCCCAGAAAGCCCTCACTATCGCCCCAATACGGCCTACGAGGGTTCAAGACCGTTCCGAAACGACCCCAGAGGGCCCTAAGAGACCCCCAGAAACCTCCAAGATGGCCCAAAATGCCCCCAAGACGGCTCCAAGACCGGGCCCCGACGGGGGACCGGAACGGACATTTCGCGCTCTAAGCCGCAAGACGTCCCCAGGAGACCTCATAACGCCCCCAAGAGGCCTCAAGACGGCCCAAGATGCTCCCAAGACGCCCCAAGATGCGTCCAAGAGACCTCCCAAGAGGCCCCCGACAAGCCAAAATTGATGATTTTCATTGCTTTTTTGCGGATTTTGGCGTTCTCGCCTCTTCGGCTTACTAGCGCTTTAAGACGGCCCAGAAAGCCCTCAATATCGCCCCAATACGGCCTACGAGGGTTCAAGACCGTTCCGAAACGACCCCAGAGGGCCCTAAGAGACCCCCAGAAACCTCCAAGATGGCCCAAGATGCCCCCAAGACGGCTCCAAGACCGGGCCCCGACGGGGGACCGGAACGGACATTTCGCGCTCTAAGCCGCAAGACGTCCCCAGGAGACCTCATAACGCCCCCAAGAGGCCTCAAGACGGCCCAAGATGCTCCCAAGACCCCCCAAGATGCGTCCAAGAGACCTCCCAAGAGGCCCCCAACAAGCCAACATTGATGATTTTCATTGCTTTTTGAGGATTTTGGCGTTCTCGCCTCTTCGGCTTACTAGCGCTCCAAGACGGCCCACAAAGCCCTCAATATCGCCCCAATACGGCCTACGAGGGTTCAAGACCGTTCCGAAACGAGCCCAAAGAGCCCTAAGAGACCCCCAGAAACCTCCAAGATGGCCCAAGATGCCTCCAAGACGGCTCCAAGACCGGGCCCCGACGGGGGACCGGAACGGACATTTCGCGCTCTAAGCCGCAAGACGTCCCCAGGAGACCTCATAACGACCCCAAGAGGCCCCCGAGAGGCCCCCAACAGGCCCCAAGAGGCCCCCAGGAGGCCCCAGGAGGCTCTAGAAATACTGCCAAGAGGCCCTCGAGAGGCTTCCCAAGAGACCCCAAACGGCCTCTAAAAAACTCGTCTCAATTGCAAACGATGCATCCAAGTACGAAGACCACTGACTCCAACACCCTCGCACCACAAACAGAGCACCCCTAAACACGCCGAGGCAACCGCAGGCAAAGCCCGACCGAACCCTGGAACCTCCAGAAAGCGGGGCTCCATTGGCGGACCGCGCCAAACCACCATCCGCGAGCCCCATGAGAGCAGACGATGGCTCTACAAACCACTGACAGCCGCAAACGTCGAACCAACTACACTGGACTGGTGCACCCACCACCGAAAACAATGTCCCCCCCCATCAGCGCAGCATGGCTCACGGACGCGCAGCCAAACCCCATCGATTACGCATTATGGGCCGGCGGAATGAGCGAAGCGATTAAATAAATACACACAAATAAAAAGATTCCCGATATTTTCCCATATTTGGGGGGGGGTTCGTCTTCCCCCCCACTTCCCATATTTTCCCATATTTTCCTTGGAATCGACGATTAATTGTGTCTGTGATTTTTCCCTCCTGAATATGGTCATATGATCTTGAGTTTTGTGTCCCGTGGTCCCCAAGCGCCGACGTAAGGTATGTGCGGGCCCCAGACGTGGCTTGCAACACGTCTGGAAGCAAGAAGCGTGCTGGCCCAGAGCTGGCTCGATCTTTGCGGGAGCAGATGATATGTTCTTCTCCTCCTCCTCCTCCTCCTCCTCCTCCTCCTCCTCCTCCACGGCCTGTCGTGGCACCCTTGGCCTCGACACGCCCCCGGCTGAAGCTGACTGCAGCTCTTTCGCGGACACCCGATCCGATCCGATCCTCCTCCTCCTCCTCCTCCTCCTCCTCCTCCTTCCTCCTCTTGAGCAGGCACTGGGAGTCTCGGAACTCCTGGAGGCCTACCAGGAAATGCTCGAAGAACCAAGAAAAGCTCGAAGGACAAAAAACGACGATATCGGCGAGAAATGTTTCAATCACATTTCGTGCAAGCCACAACAGGTTCTCAGAACATAATTTGCTGTGCGCATGGGTAAACCAAGACGCCTCGCCACTGTCTCGTCTCGAGTTGTTGCTTTGGGCATTTTGAATTTTCAAAATTCCGGCCAGGCCTCATGAGGCTGACCTAACAGGCACGCCTAGTGCCAACCCCGCGACGAACAACAACTCCCTCTGTGACTCATCCCCGCTGGCCATCGGATTCAGACCATGCCTGCCCATCGCCCCCACCCCCCCCGCGGGAGCCAGTGGCCACTTGGGCAGCGTGTTGGTGCTGAAGCGCCGGTGCCACAGGCCGTACTGGATCTTGTACCTCGCAAGCCGGCCGACCACAGTCAGCGCCAACAACGCCGCGTCTGGGCCAACAGAACCTGGACCAAGCTCTCAATCCAGAGCCACCTTTGAAGACCCCAGCGCAGGCCGCTCCGGACCTCGTTCCTCGCAAGCTGGCCGACCACCTTCAACGCCAGAAACGCCTCATCTGGACCAACAGAACCTGGACCAAGCTCTCAATCCCGAGCCACCTTTGCAAACCCTCGGTGGCAACTCACGGGAGCCTCCCATATCATCCTGTCGGCTCTTGCGAATCGACGCAAATCGACGCTAATCGACGCTAATTGACGCTACATCGACGCTAACCAACGCTAATCGACGCCATACTGGCGCTATCTCATCAACTCGCAGAGGCTCATCGGCACTCATCGACGCCGGAGGCGGAATTACGAGGGTGCACAAGGCTCCCATGAGTCGCTGCCGAAGCCACCTTGGCAAACCCGAGCGCCAGGGGGGAGGCCGAAGCGCCGCAAGCAGCTCGGGACCCCGAGCTGCGTCGGTGGCAGTCCGCCGCGCGTCGCCAGGCGCACTCGGAGGGCCGCGCTCTGCTCTGCCCTGGCCCTGCGCCCAGTCTCGGGTCGGGCATATCCTCCTACAGGCGGATTTCGGATGGAAAATGATGAATAGTCAGAACTTAATCAGACATGGTCAAAAATTGTAAAAATCGTCCCACATCTAAAAAGAAATATATGAATAACCACAACAGAATCAACATAGTTAATATTATATTGTGTATATATATGTATATGTATATTACGTATTTATCTACACTCTTAAAAAGCCCACAAGAAGAAGAAAAACAAAAAACAAAAACAAAAAAACGTCCACATACGACTGCTTGACTATTTTCTGAACACTCCTCCTGCAGAGGGACACGCCCGACTGGAGCCCAGCCGAGCCCAGCCGCAGGCCGCGACGACATTGGCGAATTTCATATCCTGCCTCTCTCCGCGGATCTGCTCGCGCGGACGCTTCTGCGATGCGGGCTCACTGGTGCCCACTGGGCACGTGTCGGTCGGCAGGGTTGGCAAAACGCACGCGAGGCCCAGTCAGGAAGGCAGGCACACGGATCCTTGGCCCAGGATTGGTCTGGCCAGCATCGGTGCAGGTGTACAGTTGGCGCCCGGAAATTTGGCGGACAAGGGGGTGGGGCGAGGGCGGCGGTGTCATAAAAAAGGGGGGGGTCTTAGAAGGGCCTGGATGCTGTTTTTTTTTTCAAGAGAAGGACGAGGAGGATGAGGAGGAGGAGGAGAAGGAGGAGGAGGAGAAGGAGGAGAAGCAGGAGGGAGAAGGGATAGAGAAGCGGGGGAGGAGGAAGAGGAGGAGGAGGAAGAGGAGGAGGAGGAAGAGGAGGAGAAAAAATGCCTTCCAGGAGACCCCCGCCTTGTAAGAAGACCGCACCCTCTCGCCCCACCCATCCCCGCGCGTTCCCAAACGATGTTGTCAACACTGGACACCACAAACAGTGTGGTGGCCCCACCACACTGACCACGGTGTGTGTGTGTGTGTGTGGGTGTGTATATGTGTATGTGTGTGCGTGTGTGCGTGTGTGCGTCTGCGTATGCGTGTGCGTGCGTGTGTGTGTGTGCATGTGTGTGCGTGTGTGTGTGTGTGTGTGTGTGCGTGTCAGCGTTTGCGTGTGCGTGTGCATGTGTGCGCGTGCGCGTGTGCATGTGCGTGTGGCGTGTGCGTGTGCGTGTGCGCGTGTGCGTGTGTGCGTGTGTTCGTGTGTGCGTGTGCGCGCGTGCGTGTGCGCGTGCGCGTGTGCGCGTGCGCGTGTGCGTGTGCGTGTGTGCGTGTGCGTGTGCGTTTGCGTGTGCGTATGCATGTGCGTGTGCGTGTGCGTGTGCGTGTGCGTGTTCGTGTGCGCGAGTGCAGGTGTGCGTGTGCGTGTACGTGTGCGTGAGCGTGTACGCGTGCGTGCGTGCGCGTGTGCGCGTGTGCGCGTGTGCGCGTGTGCGTGCGCGAGTGTGCGTGTGGTCGTGTGTGCGTGTGTACGTGCGGGCGTGTGGTCGTGTGTGCGTGTGCGCGTATGTGCGCATGTGTGTGCGTACGTATGTGCGTGCGTTAGTGTGTGTGTGTGTGAATGTGTGAGTGTGTGAGTGTGTGAGTGCGTATGAGTGAGTGAGTGTGCGTGGTATGTGTGTGGCGTGTGTAAGCGTGCATGCGGGTGTGTCTGTGCGCATGTGTGTGTGTGTGGTGGGTGTGCGCGTGCGCGTGCGCGCGAGTGTGTGTGTGTGTGCGATCGGTTTCGCGACAACGGGCAGCTGGGGTGCCTTCGTTTTTCGCGCTGCACGAAGCCTGGTTCCAGCTTCGCGTTCTGGAGCGGCTACCACCTGCCTGCGCCAATTGCGCGACGTCGCTACTGCCGCGCCCCTGCGCGTGACCAAACTCAACACTGCATGGCGGCCGTGGGTCGAAAGTAACTACTCATCCAGACAGAATGGAAAAACGACGTCTTGGGAATGTCGCAGAACACCCCCACCGGTGTTTGAGATAGCCGATGGGACAAGCGGACTCTGATGAGCATGCTTGATTCCCTACCTAGGCTCTGCCTAGAAGGGTTCATATTCGCTTGGCTTAAAGGGGCCGGGAAGTGCAAACCGCCCCGGTCGGTTCCCCCAGTCCCCTGGGAGCCAAGCAAAAGCAACAGCAAAGGTAAAAGCAAACGCGCGGTTCCCCCAGTTGCGCTCCCTGGGTGCCAAGCACAAGCAAAAGCAAAGGCAAAAGTGGAGGCAAAAGCGAAGGCAAAGCAAGAGCATAGCATAGCATAGCATGGCCTAGCATAGCATAGCATAGCGCAGCATAGTATAGCATAGCATAGCATAGCATAGCCTAGCCTAGCCTAGCCCAGCATAGCATTGCGCATGTGCGTGGAGGACGGCGTACCCTAGCCCTAGCATAGCCTAGCCTATCCAGGAGGACGGCGTTTACCGCTCCTACTAATGTTGCTTTCCTAGAGGCTCCAACTCCTAGGTAGGGTCGCACTGGGACAATTGCATGTATGTTCCCAAATCGTCCCTCTCCACCTCATCGTCATCGCATCCCCCATCTTCCCCATCCGCACGCTCCCCACGCTCGACTCAGCGCCACATCATCGCTGATGCCGCCACAACCGCCGCCCCGAATTGCAAGCTTAGCAAATATCACCACGGTCACCGCCACCAATGCCATATCGCCATCACGACGTTCCATCCCCCTCGCCCCAGCCTGGGGTTGTTGAGGTCAACGAAGTACGCCTGCAAGGCCGACGACTTCAGCATGCCCTTGTAGGTGATCGTGCGACTGGACAGCGAGCAAATGTAGAAGTCGTTGATGTCCTGCCGTCATCAGCCATATCACTGGCATCACCATCGCCGCCACCATTGTCAGCGTCGTCGTCGCCGCGGCTGCCATCATCGCCGTCACCGTATTCACCACCACTGATTCCATGACCATCATCATCATCCTCCTCCTCATCATCATCATTATAATCACCACCACCACCACTGCCACCACCACCATCACCATCATCGTCATCATCAGCATCATCATCAACACCATCATAATCACCATCGTCGTCATCATCATCATCATCATCATCATCATCATCATCATCATCATCATCATCATCATCATCATCATCATCATAATCATAATCATAATCATAATCACCACCACCACCACTGTCACCACCACCACCACCACCATCATCATCATCATCATCATCATCATCATCATCATCATCATCATCATCATTATCATCATGATCATGATCATGATCATCATCATCATCATCATCATCATCATCATCATCATCATCATCATCTTCATCAGCATCAGCATCATCATCAGCATCATCGTCATCATTATCATCATCATAGTCG